TGATCTCTCTTTTTAATTTTCATCAGAACTCTGGTTGCAGCATTTTGGATCAGCTGAAGGCTATTAACTAAAGTTTGTGGACTTCCTGATAGTAATAAATGCATCGAGTAGTTTCTCAGCATCACCCCTGGACAGGATATTTCTAATTTTTGCAATATTCCAAAGATGAAAGAAATAAAAATATCTGATCAAAAATAACACCAATATTTTTTTATTTTATTATCTGAAATCAGTTTAATCCCATACAAATGAAGTGATTGACAAATCAGCTTATTTTTTTAAAACTCTGGTCCAAAAACAATAACTTCTGTTTTGTGTGCATTCAGAAGGAAAAAGTTAAGAGACATCCAAGTTTTTCCAGGTTTTGCAATTTCACTATCCATCTTTTCGTTGTTTTTCTTACAATGTTGAATTTCGGCACTATTGAATTCCACTGCTTTGGGAATATTTGCAATAGAGAGCGTGTTTTATTTAATTTCTTCTCCTAAATTCAACATAATTTTCTGTAAAATTTCAACTGCTTCTCAAATCTTGGCATTAGATGCATTTGAACTAATCTCATCATCTTCCTTTCTCTTCTTGTGTGGTACAGGGTTTTTGCATTGGAATGTAAGGGTATTTTTTATCACTTTAGTATCGGTGTCAATGCAGTAGTCTTGAGTTAGCAGAGCCTGGTTAGCTTTGGTGTTAGCTTTGTTGTTAGCCGTTACATCAATGTTTTCCTTTTGCTTATAGTTAACTATCCTGTTATCCCTTTAAGTTATTATTATTTTTAGTTTACGACAAGAATCATTTTCTTTTTTTTGGTGTTTAAACTCTGGAATTTTGTTATTCAATGAGCTTGCTACCTAGAGCTCATTACTACACAACCGCTCTCTTCGCCATCTTGTCGAAACCCCTGTAGGCTTTGCTTAGCGTAGGTGGTCTAGCCAAGCAATTTTTTGCCCTGATCCGGTCTATTGGAAGCCAGCCAGTTAAAGAGCCACAATTGCAATCGTCCCAAACAGGAAAAAGAACATTGAGAATATCCGGTATCTCAAGGTAAAATATAGTAATGACAGATAGGTAACTGCAAATTAGAGCATATTTCTTGTATATTCTCTAAAAATAAGACAGTTTACTAAAATCTAAATATTTGTTTTATGCTGAAAGGCTTAAAAGTTTTGTCAAATTCAGAAGTCAATCAATTTTTCTTGAAATAAACTAATTTTTCTTTTCTTTAATCGAGCATGAAAGACAATAGAATAAGACAATTTACATTTAAAACAAGAAAAAAGTGTATAATATCTCATTTTATTGTAAGGGGAAAATACACAATCAATTGGCCGATCATCTTATTTATCTACTCAAATGAAGGGTAAATACACTTTTTGTAATTTGAAGTATTTTTTAGATTGTTTTCACATTGCTGTCTTACTAGTTTGCTGTCTTCTGTCTCCCAAAATTTAGTTTATTTCAGTCTCACTCTGTCCTAGGAACTATTACCATTCATGACATCTGTATGGAGTGATTTTTCTGCCAAAACCTTGTGTACAAAAATGCATGTTGCGCACACACATAAGCATGTTGCAAATGCATAAAGCATGTTTCACACAAACAAATCTTATTACTCACAAATAAACATGTTGCACTCAAATAAATCGTATTGTTCACAAATAAAACTTGTGTCACAAACTCTCCTCTAATGTCAGACACAAATAAAACTTTTTTTTCAAACTCAGGGCTCGATGTTAACCATTTCCCGATCGCCTGGGGCAAGTAGTTTTTATTGTCAGGATAGTACAAATTGTGCAATGATCGCAAAAAAAAATTATTTATCACTCAAAATTACTTTAAAATCACCGACATTCACTGAAAACGACCCACAAGCGTTGCCGATGCCATTCTTGTTGTTTTGTACAGATTCTCGTGTAATTTGAAAAAGTCGTGTGATTTTCTGCTAGATGCCGTCAATCAGCTCTTGGGGAGAGAATTCTGCAGGGCATCAGCTGGATGATGAATTTAATCAATACTATGGCTCTGTTCGAAATACTGGGCTGCATCCTCCAAGGAGGCGGTCTACCTAGACTGGTTCCTTTGAAGTGTTTTGGCTGTGAATTCGAACAGGTCTACCCTTCGGCGGGTTTTACCGCCATATGCTCTGTTGCTTAGCAATTGTGAATGTTGAGAAACAAAGCAGGAAAAGAATGAAAACTGAAGTTTTCAAAACTGTTTGTTTATTTATTTATTTTTTTATTATAAAGTGAACAAAGACTACTCTCAAAAGAATCCAGAGTGGAATAAATGTTCCAACCACCAGGAGCATGAACAAATAAAAGCAAATGTCCATTAATGTAAAAATGTCCATAGCTGTATAGTGGTTATTTATTCTCCAGATTTATATTGTCAAAAACTTTACAGTATTGTATTGTTTATATTTTAACTCTTCCCTATTATGTTATTCTTATACATTTTTCTAAGGTCCAAATTTGTGTGACCATTTTCAATGATCTTGCTGCTGCTGTAAATTTGCCCATT